TAAAAGCTTATGCTTCAGAAGGAAGGATTGGTTCCGGAAACCCCTACACCGCCACGATTGAAGGGTGTTAAAAACGTGGACCCCTGAAGGAGTGGCTAACCGACTAGCCTTTAAGGCACCAGATAGATAGTTAGATGATAGATAGATAGCTAGATAATAAGACAAGCAAAAAGGTAGAGGGATAGATAGACGGATAGGTCCGCAAATAAGTAGTTGGTCTGTATGTGATGGCACATACATGTTCAGATGCGCATGGAGCTGCGCGGAATCGCACGCACGGTAGCCCGGCCGGTGCCCCGTAATTGGAGTGAAAACGTGAGGCCAGATCCCAAGCCAACAGGCGAAGATGGGTGGTAAACCAAGACATGAAAGTCTACGCCTCAAAAGGAATGATTGGTTCCGAAAACCTTAAGCCGCTTAGATTGAAGGCACGGTGCCCAAAGAATCAAAAAGATAAACCCGAGACTGGGTGGGCCACACTGGTGAACCAAGCTAGGAGATTATGAGTGGTAAGTTCGAAACCCACCAAGAAATGGCAGGCTGCTGAGCGTAGAGCTGACCTAAATTCCAACACAGATTGGTTGCTTCCCTAAGCCCAACACCCTCAATCGAGTGGCTGGTTTCTACCATCCGAACCTTATCAGAATCTGATATAGGAGTGGATGGTGGCCCAAAAACCCAATCGGATATCATGAAGTGAAGAATCGAAACGTTGCTAAGAGACCCTGACGTGGCGGTATACATATATACATACGCGGCAGACGCGCCAGAATTTCCAACGGTTTCGCACGCAAAATAGGCTAGCACCCAAAATGAAGCCAGATCCGAAGTCGAGGAGAGAAAATTGGCGGTAGTCCCAAAGCGCTGAAAGCTTAGGCTTTAGAAGCAAGGATTCGTTCCGGAATTCCCCAGCCTCAAACGCACTAGGTAGACAGATAAATAAATGGACAACAAGATAAGCAGATAGGTAGATAGATAGATAGATAGATAGGGTAGGTAGACGGATAGATTTACAAATGAATAGGTGGTCTGTATGTAACGTTACATACATTTTCAGATGTGAGGCCAGATCCCAAGCCAACAAGCGAAGATGGGTGATAAGCCAAGACATGAAAGTCTATGCTTCAAAAGGAATGATTGGTTCCGAAAACTTTAAGCCGCTTAGATTGAAAGCACGGTGCCAAATAATCAAAAAGGTGGACCCGAGAAGGGGTGGGCCACACTGGTGAACCAAGCTAGGAAATGATGAGTGGTAAGTGCGTCACCAACCCCAAGCAGAGCTGACCTAAAATCCAACACAGATTGGTTGCTTCCTTAAGCCCAACACCCTCAATTGAGTGGCTGGTGGTTGCCACAACCCGAACCATATCAGAACCTGATGTAGGAGTGGATGGTGGGACAAAAACCCAATCGGATATCATGAAGTGCAGAACCGAAAAATCCAGGTAAGAGACTATGAAAACGCTAAAAGAGCGGTTGATTGTCACGAGAAAATGAATAGAAAACCTGAAGCCGAAAAGGCAGAAACCTGAAAGGAATGCATGAACCGCAAAGACTGAGACAAGTTTGGTACAACCAGGAAGCCCAAAAGGAGTGGACATGGCGGCAAAGAGTGCGCCAGAGGCGCGTAAACCCGAAAAGACATGCCTAACCCCAAAAGCAGTGGGCCAGCCTTGAACTTCAAGCGGAATGACTCTATTGAGTGATGGTACATGGCAAGCCAGCGACGTTCAAATGTGGGGAGATGTCGTTGAAAATCTAGAACAAAGAGCTTCTTCAATCGTTGTGTGAGTATATTTACCGAACGGTAGCTTCCAAATAGACCCGGTTTTCCTCAGCCACCCCCCCCCCCCCACCTGTCTCAGGAGACTTGCCACCACTACCCCCCACCCACCCCCCCCCACCACCCCCATCCCACCCACCCACCCACCCACCCACCCCACCCACCCCACCCACCCACCCACCCACCCACCCCCCCTGCCACTACCACCACTACTAGTACTGCAACTGCAACTGCTGCTACTACTACACAACGACTGCAACTACGACGACGACGACGACGACGACGACTACTACTACTACCACTGCTACTACTTCTTCTTCACTTCTGCTACTCCTACTACTGCAACTACTACTACTACTACTACTCCTACTACTCCTACTACTCCTACTACTCCTACTACTCCTACTACTCCTACTACTCCTACTACTCCTACTACTCCTACTTCTCCTACTACTCCTACTACTCCTACTACTCCTACTACTCCTACTACTCCTACTACTCCTACTACTCCTACTACTCCTACTACTCCTACTACTCCTACTACTCCTACTACTCCTACTACTCCTACTACTCTACTACTACTACTTCCTACTACTCCTACTACTCTACTCCTACTCCTACTACTACTATACTACTACTACTACTACTACTACTACTACTACTACTGCTACTGCTACTACTACTACGACTAATAATAATACCACTACTACCACTACCACTGCTGCTGCTTGGTGGGTGGTGGGGGGGTTGGGTGGGTGGGGGGGTGGGTGGGGGCGGGGGGTGGCTGGACCGCCCTGCTGCACGTAGGGGTGAGGGGGGGGGGGGTGCCCCCCCCCCCCCCCCCCCGAGTTTGCAGAAAACCGCGCCGTGCCAAACTATCCAAAAAACGTTCCGCTCAGTGGATCGGCCATGGGCCATCGCATAGGACATCCACTCATGCCACTCCCCTGACTCCAGACTCTTCGAGACTCGAAGAGCCAAAACACAGCATCTCCTCGCCAGAGGCCCCAGGCCTTCTCGAAGAGCCAAGCTTGAGCTCGTCGCCAGATCTAAGTTCAAATCTCGTCCCGGGGCCGAGTTCTGCCTGGTCTCCGCGGCTCCAGGAGCCGGGCGTGGCGTGCGTGGCGTGCGGCACTCTGCGTGGAGGTGGCTGTGAGCTCAGCATAGCCTTCGCCAGCGAAGGCTGTGCAGGCGACAGCGTCCGACGCACAGTCGGCCTGTAGACTCCCACAGTGAAGGCCGCAGGTGTGGTGGCAGAAAGCGGTCTGGCCACGGACGCGACACTGCTCAAAAAGATCAAAAAGGCATCAAAAGTTCGCATGCCTCCATAGCCGAAGGATTTGGAGGCTCAGGCCTCAGACACCATCACGACCCGAGGACCTCGCTCCCTGAATGACACAACAAGGCTGGGGCGGTCCACTGCAGAGCAGTTTGTCTGGCGGCGTGCTGCTCGGCACTGTTGGCCTCGATCACGACATGTTGCAAAGTGCAAGCTGAACCGTAGTCAGCACCCATGAGAGAACTTACAGCCCGGAGAGCCATGCTTGCCTTCCAGGAATGGTATAGTATCGACTATCATCGACTCTCTTCGCTTCAGCCAGAAGCCAATCCAGTGGCACTGCCGGCAATGTTTGAATTCATGGTTGGGATCTTGACTGAGCGGATTCGTGTCCGCCCGGGCCATCGGGGTCGCCCCTCTCGTTTGCTTGGGAAGCCCTTAACTGAAGAGGTCTCTGAGTGGGGATGCCGGTGTCCAGCCAGGGGTGCGAAAAGGATGATGCTGTAAGTGCGGTGCTCTTCCAGCGGCCCGAGTTCCTGCGGCGTGTCGGTCGCAGTGAACAAGCGGCTAGATCATCGTCTGCCTGTGCTGCCAGCAGTCGAGGTAAGTGGCTCTGGTCAGGCCACATAAGCTGCCATAGGCCCTGCAGGCTCATGCAATCCGAATCGGGCATCTATCTGACAAAGAACTTCAGTGCAGTCGAATGGCCTGCATAATCCAATGAGTCCTCAAGATCCAACGTAGTGTCCAGCAATGTGACAGAATCACAACAAAGTAAGGCTAGAGCATGACAGCTGGCTCTGGAGGCCAAACTTGCCTGCAGTGTCGGAAGAGCATGGACCAAGAAAAATACATGAACAGCAGCAGCCTGAACAATTTTGGCTAACCGAATGGACTCATCATGATGAGACACCCCTCCTCAGCTCGACGACTCGTTTGCGATTCCACCAACAGAAGTGGCTAAGCGCGAAATGCCGACAGTCTCAAGATCCCGAGACCTGCACAAGTTATTTCATATTTCAGCTTTACAAGTACAGTAGCAGGATGATCAGCAAACTCTGTCTGGATCATTCTCGCAGACATTTTGAACTCTTGTCTCTGCATTGCGATTAAAGTCCACCCTTTCTTCTTTGCCGATTGCACGAGGTTTCGTTGCCTCTGCTTTCGCCCTTCCCGGACAACTGACCCGGGACAGGATCCCCTCGTTGAAAGCGGAGACAGACGAAGCTCAGCTAGATCAGCCATGCTCAGCCCGCTCTGGTTTCTGTTGGTAAATCATTGTAAATCTGGGACATATGCTTAAACAGACCGCAGGACAGGTGAGGAGTCATCCAAAAAGGAGAGGCAAACCGATCGGTTGAGTTGGTTTTCGGGGCAGCAGGGGCCACTAAGCTGCTATCACCACGGGCATCACAAGCTGCTCCGGTGATGGAAATCCAAGCTTTGAAACCTCAACGCACGAACACACTGCCTCTGCTCTCGGATCGCAGTGTTCTTCAGCTTCGGTGCCTCCGCACGGTGTCAGCCGTGGAATGCAATGCACGAACCCTGTGAGCCTCATTTATGCGGCTAGCGTCCAGCTTCCATCAGTATGAAAGGACTGTCAGAGTGCTAGCAGTATGCCATGCCTGCTCAGCATGGCATGAGCACGGACCAGGCCATTGCTGTCGCCAGGCCGTAAGCATAAGATCTCTCGAAGAGGGCGCTCTGCTCAGACGGTTCAGAGTAGACATCGCAGGCTGATGGTGGAACTGGAGGCAGAGACTTTCCACGCAGTGTGTCCTTCCATGCGATTGTCAACTTTGTGACTGGTGACTGGAGCTTAGAAAGGTCAGAAAGGCTGAAGCGAGATGATGCTAGGTGCCGGTGCATTGGCTTGACGGCTTGACTATTTGGAGCACACAGTTGCTGAATTTCCAATTCCTCCGAGATCCACACTGACGTCCTGCCTCGAACGGTCGGGTCTGTCTAGTGACGCTTGGAGGTCTCTCTGCCGGTCCAATTTCGTGCAGCTTACATGCGGCATGGCCTTGCCAGTTTTCCGCAGCAGCCAAAAGCAAAGGCAAAAGATGCAGCCCAGAAGCCGTGGCACTGCTACGAGAAGCTCCTGGATCTGCACATAACTGCAAGCAGCCTTCTGTGCATTGACGACAGTTGCCTTTGCCAGCTCCGTCGAGAACAGCTTCCATGAACACGCCCTGGCGACATCGAATGAAGTTCCACAAGGGCTCCCTATTCAATCAAGTATCGTGTACGGTCACGGCCAACGAGAGATCACCACCTCGAGCATCTCAATGTATTTACGATGATGAGAAGCCAATTGGAAGAGGTCAGCCTCGCGGCTTCAAAGATGAGACAGGACCGCCTGAGCGCGGCACCAAGGCTGGTTTTGGTCTGAGCTGTGGGCAGTGTACTTCACCGGCTCACCTGGCGGGTCTTCGTTTCACTGCAAACATCTGCTCCCCCATCTCTGCCGGCAAAGGAAAGTTCAGTTCAGTGCCTGGAGTCGCTGCTTCAACAGGCTGCCGCTGGCAAGAGGGCAAGCAACCTCACTTCTCACTTCCAGGGAAGGCTCTGAGCTCTGCCCGACTTCTTCTCAAGCTGGAGATCCTACAGGGATCCCCGGCGCAAGGTTGAGGCGGCTGAGGTAGATGGCAGGTGACCGCTCCAGGCACCACAAAGGCGCTCCTTTCTTGAACTCGCAACAGCGGCCACCAGGCAGGATTTCACAGGTCACTTCGCAACCATGAGTCAGTGACTGGCAAAACCTGCAGTTCTTAGGGGCTCTTGTGAAACCCAATCTGTCCCTACCTGCTGCCTTTACCTTTGATTCCGAGTGGCACTCACGTGTTCGCATGTCCAATAGTAAAGAGCCGGGAGGAAAAAAAAACATGACTGCATAACTGCGATCTGCAGGCTCTGGTTGCCTCGGTGGATGTTGTAGGTTGGTGGGCTTCTGTTTTAGGCTAGGCGGATAGAGGTGAAGAGCAGGTAATTAGCTGGACTATCACTGTGCCGCAGCTCACTCACGTGCTGCTTCCTGCTTTGAATTGCCGCTCCTATCTGCCATCATACCGGCTGTGGCGTGCAAAGGTGTTGCTTAAGGATGTTTGTCCTGCACTGCGGTCGGAGTCATGCGCGTGTCTGTTGCTGCATCGGGTGTTTGTGGGGCTGTCGAGATGTATATATCACGCTGGGACGGGCTCGGAGACACGTTGATTGAGCTTGGCTGCTCACCATTGCACTACGAAACGTCGGACAAAGCCGTTCACGAGACCTGACTATGTGTGACGATGCTGGGCGACATCAACCCGGTTTATGCCTGCCATGTCGCTGAACTCTGTCAGTATCCAGGAAGGCATTAATCATTAATCATTGAACCTTTTAGCGTGCTGGATCTTGTGACCATTTGTTCCCCCACACCGAACCGCGGTACCCCCACCCTGCACACTAATTACATCTAATTACCTAAAAGCCGAACCCCCGGCCTCATCCCAGCTCCGGTCGCAACTCTTGTTGCACCGACGTCTCTCTCTTTCTCTCTCTCTCTCTCTCTCTCTTCCGGGTGTGGGGGTCGCAGCAGCGTTCAGGCCGCTTCCCCCGTGCGCGAACGCACTCCCGCTATTCGCGGGGGTCCCCCCCCGCTTGGCTTTCGCAAGCAGAAGGCGGGACAAAGCACCTGGTTTGGCTTCAAAGCTCAACACCGAACCTCAAGACGGAAAATTCCCCCTTGAAGCACTGGGTGCAGCAAAGGTTTTCCTCAGCGCTCACTTCCGTTCAGTACGTCACCTAGTCGAGCTCTCTGTCCCCCTTCGCGAGGCCATGTAGTTCTGGACTTGGCGCACTTGCCAGTCGAGGTTAGGAGAAAGACGTACTGGTGCTCGTCCCCCCTTTCCTGGCGGTCACAGCGCCGTGGCTCCCCCTCAAGCTCACGGGGTCTTTCCACGGCTGTGTTCAGTCTGGCGCTTTTTGTTGGTGGTTCCCCCACCGGCTCACTGGGTCGTGCTGCGTGTCCTCCTGTGGCTGTGCATCTGTCTGGCGGCCGCCCCTCCGGCCCCCACGGCCACTGGCTCATCCTCCCCCACAAAGTGCAAGGGTCACTAGGTTGTCGGCCTTGCCACTTTCACGATCTTGACGTTGAAACTCTCCCCCGTCCAGTGTGCTGGTACACAGTGCGAAGCTTGTGCTCCCTCGGGTCAACGAGGATGGTCTCGAGCACCGTCCCCCCTTTTCTTCGAGGAAGCGGAAGTTGAGGCCCTTGCAATCTGGAGGTCGCGTTCTGGGCCGTAGCACTGCAAACTTCACGGACACGAATATTGCGCCCCCCCCAACACTCTAGTTTTACTTGATGAGAGGGCCCGGGCGATCCGGTCTCAGAGGCACAGTCAGAGACCTTCACCCCCGAAACCCCCTTTCGAGCAGACGTCCAGCGGGATGTTCTTGGAGACGCTGTAGGCACCTTGAGCCAAAATGGCTACCTCTCTCTCTCTCTCGCACTCAGGCAAGGAGGAATGCGCTGTGTCTCTATTGCTTGCTTGCTTGCTGGGCGTTTGGAGGTGCAGGGACGAGCCCTACAACCCCTGCGCGCACGCTACGCCTCTGTCCGAGTCTGGTGTGAAACTGCGTGGTACGTGACAGCGAAGCCCCTTTTTCTGCATCTCCTGCCTATTCGTACGAAATTGCACGTCAAGTCCCCCGCCTCGCTGCTCACGCCTGTGTCTGCGCTGATTTGACGTGGATATTCCACGATCTTGGGTGTTGTACTGGCCTGTTCCGAGGGATCGCTAGCCAAATACAAGACCGAGCCCCTGGTACTGGCGACGCAACGCGACACGGTAACCAAACAGTAGTTTCCCCGATCTTCCCCGCATGGACTCTGGCCTGCTGCATCTTTTGCTACCTTCTACTGGTTTGGTGGGTGCTGCTTTGCCGGCAGCGGGTCCCCAGAAGATCAGGAAGCAAAGGGACTCGGGTTGCCAGAAGTTAAGGGCAAAACACATCACAACTTTTGGGTCCCCTAACTGCCATGTGGAGGTGTGCTGTGGGTGAGCTGCAGGTCGGCTGGGTGTGGGAAGCAGAGAAGAGGCAGGTTACAAACGACAAGGGATCCCTGCAAGCTCACTTGTGGTGCTTTGGCCGCCTTCGATGCTTCTCTCAAGGTCGGGCATTCACTTTTGTCGTCGCGTCTGTTGCGGGCTCTTCGGTGTGCTCCTCGGACCTGGTGCCGTACCGCGCTCCCGGTGGATCGTGTGGAAGACGGCTGGGTCGAGGTGTTGGTAGGGCTTGTGTGTTTTTGCCCCGTCTTTGGTTGGGGCTTTGGTCGCCCCGTCTTCTGGTTCTGGGCAGCCGCTATCAGCCAAGTGCCACTTGTGGCAGCTGATTCCCGTTTAACCTTATTTGTTCTGGTAGTAGAGCTCGAAGGTGTTCTGCGGAGGTAGTGGAGGACGGCTCAGTGTGTGGTTCGGGTCGGTGCAGCGGTGTTGGGCCCTCATTCGCTGGGTCCCGGGCAGTACGGTGCTTCCGGTGGGTCGCGCTGTAGGCGATATCAGTGCTCGGTGCCGTAGGTGTCACGATCGTGCTCGGCACGTCGCTCGCAGAGGCTACTCCGTGCTAGGGGCCCTACCTTACTTTGAGCCGAAAGTCGGCCTTCGGTGGCGACGGGGCATGCGACGTCCCGCGTGGTGCTCCAACTCTGTCAGGGCAAAAGGGACATGCGATGTCCCCGTTTGATGCTCCAACTGTGCCAACTTTTGTTCCAGAGCAAGTACCTTACTCAGAAGTTGTTTGGTCCCAGCCCCGTCTGGGCCACTGAGGACCCTAACTTATCCTGTCTCACGGAGAGCTCCTGGCTGTTGTGGAGGGCGGTCTGCATCTGCTCAACGTCCGCGATCAGTTTATTCACTGCAGATCGCCTCCCCGGGCCTCCTTACTAACTGCTGTTGCGCGGACCCATGCTGAAGCTCTCCCCGAAACGCCTCGAGGGCGCTGTCTCCGTCTGGGGGTGGGGCTCCTGCGCCACGGTCATGTCGCTCCCAAAGGGTCGTTGCTGAGCACCCCCCCTTAAGAGAAGCGGCAGACGATTTGAGCCAAAACGGCTACAGTGTCTCCTTCTCTTTCTTTCGGAAGGGCAGAAGCAAGAGCAAACCCTTGCTGCGGCGCGTCTGCGCTTCTTTCGCGCTTAAGCGCCCCCGACTGTTGCGGTGGAGAGTGAAGACAAAATGCAAACCGCAGCCTTGCTTGCACGCAGCCAAGAGCGGGTCTCGCAACCCACTCCGCGCACGAGTGCGCACTGGGTCAAACCGCAGCCTCTCTATCTCTCTCTTCTCTTGGACTCGGAGCGTAAGGAGCGCAAACCGAAGCATCGCCCCTTAGCGCACATACACACCTATGATCACCTATGTTTGCAGTCTCACCTCGAATATTGTTCTCCTGGCTTTTCCCGGGAAGTTTCGAACCAGAACCAAACGCCATTGTTTTTTCGGTGGGCAAGAGTGCAGGACTGAATCTATTCCCAAACCGTCTGCAAACTTGTGGATACGGCCGCATCCTCCACTCTTTGACCGCACGGGCACGCTTGCTTGATCTTCCACTTGCAGGGAGTATCCTGTCAGCCAAGACTAAAATTTGGCATCACGCTCTGGCAGAGCAGCTGATGTCTCTCAAAGAGAGGCAATCATACGGCCTCACACGGCGAACCTGGATGGCAGTCCCCCTGCCGTCACAGACACAGTGCCGAGTGCAAACCTGCTACAGTAATCTGCAGTCGCATGTACATAGACCGCATACTATAATTCCGCCTGACACGAGTGGCTGCAATGAACTCTCCTGCCAGTGTCTAAGCATCAGCGCAGAACATCAGTGTTGAGCTGCCTCCGTTTTAATCTATCGATACCAAGTATTATCAGATTATCAGACTGTATCTGAGAATCCATAGTTGCTCGTCCTTGCTCCGCATGGCCTCGAGCAGGGCTTGCACTCACCTGCACAGCTCGGCGAACATCCTTAAACATGCCCGAGAGAAGCTCGCAGCTGTCATAGCCGCTCTTTTAGACTTAAAGGCGAAAGGGAAAGAAACACATCCTGACTAGAGCGTTGGATTTTGATTGCTGCAAAACAGACTCTCGTCTGTTTCATGTTCAATAACTAAAGAACGAGTAACTTCGATCTTCCTGTCTTTGTCTATTTACGCGCAAAAACCTTAGACCCACAACCTGCCCTGCTTCCTCGGGCTGGTCTCTTCCAAACTGCTGGCTGCAACGGCTACTAGTTCTAGTAGAAAGTCCACCGGCCAGGCACAGGTGACGCGACGCTTGTAATGATCCGGAAGAAGGCAGGCCCAGATCCACAAGTTCTATCTAAAAGGCCCTGTTGGCTCGAACCCAAGATTGCGAAAGCAAGGCTTCACCGTGTCGCGGGGGGAGACAAGAGACACGCGCGTGGCGTGCCATCGTAGGCAGAAGGCAAAGGCAGCTTTGCATGTGCCGATGGGGGCTCAGAGTTTGCAGAAGTTGAAATCGCGGTTCCAGACATTCCCTTTCGTCCTTTCTGGGGGGGGAGTTTCCAATCCGAGACGGTTTGTTCGAACGCAGCGCCGAGCCACATCCGTCCGCTACGGTAGTGACGGTAGTGCTTCCACGTCTTGCTACGCACGTGCGCGTCTCAGTCACATTGGGAGTGTGGCGCCGGATGGCCCTGCGCCTGCATGGCATTGCGAAGGACAGCTGTGCCCACAGGCGAGCAACCGACCTTGGGGAGCACAAGCTGAAAACATCGCCAATCCAACGTTTCTGAGGCCGCTGCCGCAGGACTGACCACAGGAGATGGGACCGACATGGCAGGGCCTTGACGTTGCACTCCAAACGGCGGTCTCTCGCTTTCTTGTCTGAGCCCCGCTCGTGTTGCGCATTTGCATGTGGCCACCTGGCACAGTCCAGTTGGTAGCCATCCGCTCCAGCAAAAAGGGATCTTTTAAACACATGGAGGCGATGCCCAAACAAGTTCTCGACACAGGCTCGTAACACAGTGGGTGTGGCCCTGCCCGAGGTTCGTGTGCTTCCAGGCCATGAATGCTGGAAAGCACCTTCATGGCATTTTGCTGGACAAACGTGACCACACTCCATCCTGAGAAGGATTCACTCGCGTCACAAGACTCAAGACCGTGCACGCAAATCCTGCATCCCAAAGCTCAAGTCAAGGCCCTTGCAGCTGTCCACACGGCTCATCGCACTCTGGTGGTTTTGTACCACAGAACTCAGTGCGGAGCAAGTTGCAAAGGCATGCCCAGTGGACGTTCCAGACATTGCCGGTGCTGACGGGCTCAGACGGGTACCACTGGCGGTTCGACAAAGCTTTTGCCACAGGCACAGTACAAAGGCTCATGCAACACCACGCGGCACCTGGCCGAGAGTCGAAACACTACCGCAAACACGATGTTGAAGGGGCCGGTAATGTGCAGCGGCCAGGCTCCACTTAAGGCTCGCACGGAGGGCAATTCCCCAAGTGGCAAAACTCCTCCCGCGGCTGTTGCTGATCCTATGTCACGGCCTATGTCATGTGTTTTTGAAGCTACCGCTCCTCACATGTGTGGTTGCCACAGGATAGCGGACGTCCACAGACTTGCAGGCACATATGGGCCTGGAGACAGAAACATGAGCATGAAGATTAACACCTTTGCGAGCGAGTTGGATTTCGTGACCCACCTCGTGGTTGCGGTTGTTGAAGCCTTCACAGCACACCACGTCGCACTTGTGGTTCCTCACAGCAAACGTCAAACAGCCAAAATTTCGGCGACATGGTTTGAAGTGACAGCAACGGCTTGCAAGGATCTGCTCTGTCCACCTTTTCCGCGGCTCTGGCTCAGATAGCTCAATGCCGCATCTCCATTTGTCCAGCGCACTGCGGCTGTGGAGTGTTATGCCAATGCTATCTGCGCATGGAAGCCCGCTTGCCAAGGCTCAAAAGTTGTCCTTCTGCTTCCGGAGCTTCGCGAAAACCTGCGTGTCGCAAGTCTGAAGGCGCCACGATGTCCACAAGTGCAAACGTTTTCGGCTCTGGAATGACACGTGCAATTATGTGCGAGAAGTGCTAGCGCCTCTGAGCTTTACCTGAAGGTATCGGCAGCATGCATTTTACTGCAGCGGTGGGCTCGAGCAGCTCGAGTCATGACAGACTGGTCCGGTGGTCAAAGCCACTCTTCTTCTGCCGAATTGGATCGCAAAGCCGTCCCAGCCTCTACCGGGCTGCAACCAGGACAGATACTCCTGCATTCTTTTCCAGGGCAGGACGATGACTTCCTAGTAGACCGTCTGAAGGCAAATTGCCAACATTGCTTCCGAGTGGTTGGTCTAGGTACCGAAAAAATTGCGAAAAGAGCTTAAGTGCCGCCGGAGTTGGCAATGGTTATATTGCTTGATTGTCTGAAAAACTTCTACCCTGAACCCGCAGACTCTGATCTTCTAATCAGCCCGCGAGAACTTCGAGGACGGCAGGCCTTAGGGCCTCGGGCCGCCTGCCGTGTCCAGTCCCAGTCGGAAGACGCTTTCGCGTTCCGAGGACCAGTTACAGGGGGTGTGGAACCCACTTTGCTTTGCAGATTGCAGGTTTTGTTGTGGTGGGTGGGGTGCTGGAGTAGTGGAGTGGAGGGCGAGGGCGGGCAGGCGGTGCTGCTGGAATCTGCTTTAACAAAGACCCATCATCGCAAGCATCCTGACCGCTCTGTGTCATGCTTCAACCGCAAGGCTTGCTTCCGTCCTCATGGAGTCATCCGCTGACCGCAGGAATGGATTGATCAACCATTCCTTATGTGCACACTGCACACTGGCTTGAGACGATGGCCACCAAAGCTAGAAGCAACACGGCAACTTGAGTTGCTTGGGGATACTTACATACGCTTTCTTTGAAGTAATTAAAAGGGTTCGGGTTTAAGATTATAGGGGTTTAGGGTTAGTGTTATAATATGGGGGTCGAAGTTTTCAAGTCTATCTTAAGTCTCCGTATGCAATGACAAGTAAGGATTGTAATCCAGCTAGCCGCCTGCAAGTTCTTGAAAGGTGGCTCCAAGTTGAATGAATGCATTCTAGTGTTGCGTAGCATATCGAAATCACGTTTGATCCACTTGTCCGGAGGGGGGGAGGGGGACCTTCAAGGGCGGGGGTAGGGGGACCCCTCCCACCCCTCCTTAAATCAAGCCTCAAACCCTTAAGAGCTCCTGAAAGGAGCTCTTGAAGGGTTCCTTAAAGGAGCCCTTGAATCGAGCAAACAGGGTGGGGTGGGGTGGACGGGTGGACCCCCACCCCCCCTCCCAGGGGGTGGACCCTGGGTTAACCCATGGAACTACCCAGGAAGTAATTTGTAAACGACAACTCCCGCAAGCTCCAAAGAGCTGGCTTTCGTGACGTACACTGACCCTCTCGGGACTCTCACTCCGCAGAAGCGCAGCAGTTGCATGCTGTTCAAGCTTCTTGCAGGGCTTCAAGACTGTCGCTAGCCCAGGCGCGTTGCGCATCGTGGATGGCACAGTGTACTTGCGCTGAACCTGCGGACAATTCGGCAAAACAAGGCTGCAGGCTTTGAGGAGTCTTGCACTGCCACAACGCGAAGCCTACGCCCAAAATTGTTCTGCTCCCCAATTGTACTCAAGCAGTGCCGCCATGGCCAGCTCCCTCCTAAGAGTCCTTGCATGGCCTTCACCCGCCTGGGCCTACCATCGCCTACCTGTCCCGTGGGTAGTTGCGCAATGTTACGAAGACTCGACGCTCGGGCAACGCTGAAAACCTCAGACCTTCTGCTCCTTCGCCCACGCGAGCATCTGCCTGGACGGTTTAGACTCTAGACTTGCCGTCGTCCAACCCTCAGCAGGTCTGAAGAATCTGGCTCTCATGAAGGTCCACATGTGAATTTAGTGAAACTGCACCTTGCCCAACACACCCGAATACCACATCAAATAAAGACGCTTCAGTACCTGCCTTACCACCAGATTTCTATGTGGCTTGAGACAGTGCTGAAACATCTTTGACCTTGCGTTGGCATGCTTGTAGAGTATCATGGATATCATGGGGAGATTCAAACATGCAGGTGGCTCTCCAAGTTCTTGTTTGCAGTCTCCACCGCGACAGCGAACTGTAGGTTCTTGACCTGCCCGAGTCTGCCCGCATGTCTGCCCGCTCAGCGGCCAGCGGTCCGAGTCGAGAGAGGCTGGGCAGGCTGGGGCTCTGGGGCTGCGCATGGGCTGCGGGCCGTGTAATCATGTCCCACATAGACGAGAGTTTCTGCAGGAAGCGCTCCCAGCCTGAGCTTACACGCTGTACATGCGCATGCTCTAACTTCCCATCCTCATCCGTTTCAAGTTTAGGGGCCTGGCACCTTCACCAGGGAGTTGTGAAACTCCTGTGTACACTGCAAATGGCATTGGGCGCACTTGTACTGAACAGCTAAAGCTGCCCAACGCAGAACTTATAGCACCTTGTCCAAATCCTCTTTCGGCTTCTGGCTGCGCTTCGACTCGGGGATTACGAAGCGCGGCGCTGCCAGGGTAAAGTACTTACCTCCGCGTATGATGCCCAGTTGGGCGCCTATGCCTGCTTTCGCTGATCAGGGATGATCAGGGCTGTTGTTTTCCGACCTGTTGTTTCCGCTACAAATATAAGTCAACTCCGCTCATGCGAAATCGGATCTCATGCAAGCTCACCCAGCCGTGCGGATCCGCGCTCTTTGTTTGACAATTTCGGCACATGTGTTAACGGCGGTGGGAAAGCAGTGGGCGATTTCATCTGTCCTGCGCTTGACTGTGCAAGTGTAGTTCGTGACTCTCACAGAGATGAGCGCGGCTATGCTTGGCTGTGGCAGCAAAAACCTGTGTCTTGTAGCCAATTGAACTTTCCAGTATCTTCGCCTTCCTGCAACTCCAGTCGTGCTACCGGAACTTGCTGATGGTCACTCAGCTGGGCAGAAAATTGTCCCGAACCTCTCCTCCGGTGTGCTCTCGAACATACGACCACAACCTCAACGAAGGGCGCGTGTCAACACACACACACACGCACACGCACACATACTAGAACAAATATGCATATATACATTGTTACACTGGGGTACACACAACACATACCATGTATGTACATGTACATAGCATACCATGCAGGACAACGAAATGACAACACACTTCATTGGATAGAAGTACACTACCACACACTAGAACTAGAGGGCACTACGGTACAGTAGAGCACGTTACGACTCACTACAATACCCTGCAACGCATGCGCACAATGCATTCATACACATTATAATGAAAAAACGCACTCCACTTCCTTCCACAGTATTCAGTCCATTACGTTACGCCACATGACATTCTAGTGTATTTACTGTTTTCCGATTCATTCCAGTGCATTACATTGCATATCATGCATGCGTACATACATAACTCGTACCTTCGTACATACATATATACACAAACACAAATCAATCAATCAAGCAAGCAATCAATCCGTCCATCAATCCATCAATCAACCGATCAACCAACCAAGCAAGCACGCAAGCACAGAATAAATAGATGAGTGTGTATTTATATTATAATACATAGTGTATATATATACACACAGAAAACGAACATAAACCTTTTCTACAATGGATGGATGGACGGACAGACATACTAATACTTAAGACACATATTATGTTACGCCTGTGTTACACCCATGCCACGCTGCCACGCCGAGCCATCCCATGCCCTCACTGCAATCCGTGCTTACCCGTCTTAACCATGCCGATCAGGCCCCTACTCCTCACCCTTGTTTTTACCCTTACGAAAACCCGGCGACGCATAGAACTGCAGTCAATGCAATCACCTTTGAGTCCCGGCGCCAGCCACGAACAAGGTGTCTCCAGTGAAGACCAAGCCCTGTTCTGCGGGACAAGCAGCTCTGTTGGGGCTGCAACGACATCCGATGTTGTGTGACTGCTGCATTGGCTCTCGTCCAAATGTCTCGCACTTTGCTGCGCACAGCCAAAGTGCAGACTCTCTAGGAGTGCTGCACAAAAGCTTTGTTGGCCACTCTGAACCCTGCATTGAAGGTGATCCGCAGAAGATCGTTGGGAGACTGAGTATGCTGCATATCAAGTCAAGAGAACAGTGTCTGCATCTGCATTGCCCAAGTACGGAATCACAAGAATGCTACGGAGTTGACTCTGCCGGGTTACGAACATGTTTCCGAAAAATTCCGCAACTTTCCAGGTCATATGCGATGCTGAAGCTTACAGCACGAGACACAAGTATCTGCAGATGTACGCGTCTGTCCGGCTTGCCGCTTCAAGATTTTCTTGTTTTCCGCACGCCAGCCTGCTGATCTGTGGCATCAGAGCAGTGGTAGCATATTGAGCCACGTGTGTGTCCAGGTGTGTGCAGAGCACAAACCTCAGTACGGAGACGATGACCATCAGCCCGTGACTTCAGAACAAGCTGAGCACCTCAATCGCTCCGATGTTGAACTTGTCGCAATGCTCCTGCAGAGAGAAGCGGCTGCCAAACCGGAAGATTCTGATTGAGTTATGTTCGGGCAGTGCAGAAGCAACCCAGTCCAGTGGATCGGTGCAAGCAGCAACATTGTCGATGCGCCCGCCATAGATCCTGATCCCTGGCACCTGCCAGATCCCACGCACCAGAGGAACTCAACAGCCAAGCATCTTGCCAGCAAGCCTGCTTGGCCATCTCCTCGTTCCCACCTGCATGATCATAGTGATGATGTGTGGTGAGAACCTCGGCTCAGCTTGACACTAGCAGTCACTAGCAGACGGATACAGCCAAAGGGGGCACTGCCGCGACGAGGCACTGCCACAATCTGAACACCCTCCTCCTTGGCTTTCGCCAGGACCAGATGTGCCTGGCAGTTGGCTAGCCCACAGGGACATCCAGAGCATGTGCCACAATGCAACAGTTCGAAGATGGGGCGAGTCTGCTGCCCAGTTACGCCAGTTACACTAATCACAGTGACTGGTGTAAGACGAATCTCGCAAATCGGTGACGGATGATGCTTGGTCGGAGACGATGGCTCGCTAAACTTGTTACGGACATGACTTAGAAATTGAAATGAAACAACCCAAAGATTGTGCCAGACACCGAGAACGGCCCCACGTGAAAATGAGATGACCCGCAGATGCCCGGATTCCTTTAAACGGGCAGTGGAGGGATGAGGAGGCGAAACTTCGTCGACCGGGTCCCCTCAACTGGCGATAGCTAGCTCCGTGCCCTGCTAATGGGATGATGCCTTGCATCCATGGACGAGGATGGTATAGACAAAAGCAGGAGTTCGCCCTCTCTTTCGAAGGAGTCTGAACGTGAAGGCTTACATATGCAGGTTAGTGTTGATCACGGTTGTTGTTGTTTCAGGAAATGGACTTCTTCGCCGATGTTTTCATTAATTTCGCGGGATTTTCGCCCTCCCTTTGGCGCAACATGTATGTCGTAGCAGGAGATGCAGGAGGAGCAGTAGCAGTAGCAGTAGCAGTAGCAGTAGCAGTAGCAGTAGCAGTAGTAGTAGTAGTAGTAGTAGTAGTAGTAGTAGTAGTAGTAGTAGTAGTAGTAGTAGTAGTAGTAGTAGTAGTAGTAGTGTAGTAGTGTAGTAGTAGTGGTAGTAGTAGTAGTAGTAGTAGTAGTAGTAGTAGTAGTAAGTAGTAGTAGTAGCAGTAGTAGCAGTAGTAGTAGTTTCGGTCGGCGTCGTAGTAATAGAAGTAGGAGTAGGAGAGGCGGAGCAGGGGTAGGAGTAGGAGCAGTAGTACGAGTCGTGGTTGTTTTTGTTGTTGATGTTGTGGGTCTTGGCCTTGCAAAGCCTGCCAGTCTTTTGCGGTTGTGTTCGCGGGACTTTGCAGCAAATCAACTCCGATTTTGCAGAAACTGACACTGCCTTACGTTGACGCCGTTGTTACCCCTGGTATTGTCTTACAAGTTTAGCTTAGTCCTAGCCTGCCACAATGTCGCCAGCTTCCGCTTAGTTTTGCATCAAGCTGAAGCCTCAAACCTTGGCTTTGGGAGCACTGAGGCATGGCGCGATGAAAGGCCTTGAACTGTACGGCTATCTATAAAGGACAGCTTGTTCTTCCAAGTCTTGCATGCCCCAAGTGCATTACTTAAAAGCTTGTCCGATATTCGTTTCCCTTCGCGGATCTTTCGCGGGCACATCTCGAGTCCATGTCATATAGACCGCAGACAAGAATCTTTAGATCAATGCTCACGCATGCAATCGAATATTAGATTGGGGCTTCAATGCCCTCGCCATTGCCCAAGTACGTCACACACACACACACACATGCACACGCAAAGGCACACACCCACACTCGCGCAATCCTCCGCCTGACACTTCCTTGTTCTTTTGGCTCGGTTTTTTGCATGCAGAGCTGAAGGCATGTTGGCAGCAGTGGCCGTCTCCGTTGCACCCGCAGATGCTTTATAGCGCTAGACCTTGCAGACACTCTTTATGAGTGGACCTTGGAAACGGTACGAAGCTCAGGTACTTCGGGAGGATCAGTCCCGGCAAAACTCACTCCTGAGTCTTTCTTGCTTGACTCGAGGTTCGGCTACTGGTGGTCATCGCAAGTAACTGTGCACGTAGAGCCCACGCAAACACGCACTAGACCAGCCAGAGCACCAACGACAAGCATAAGCTACGTGGAATAGCTGGGACATAGTGGACGAGTTGGCAGGTCTGCACCTTGCAATCCTGCCCTTTGCCCAGATGATCTGTTTTGGTGCCAGAAGTACACTACCGCCATGTGAGCTGCCTGTTGTCCCTGGTGCTCAGGCGCCTCCGCCGGATCCACGCATGCTGCTATCTTCTTCGAATCATCGATTAACAGGTACCTGACAGGATGACGCAGGATAATTTGCGAACAAGGTGCGTTGGACCAGTGAACCGGACAGTAACCGGACTCGACGTGAACTGCCCGGAATGCCCAGAGCCATGTCTCTGAGGACGGCACGCGTAGTTGTCAGAGAGGACTGGAACCACTACGACCCTCATGATGCTATTTGGTTGCTGAGTCTTGAACTGCATGGCTGGTATATGCTGGTTGCAGGACTACTGCCAGCTCTGCGAATCTGTGAAATCCTGCTGTGCTCCCGGTGCTTCTAGTCACTGTATCTTGCGGTTTTAGCTGCGAGCCGATGAAACCGAAGCCTTGCGGAATGAAATTTGGACAATGAGCCATCCTCTCTCAAAGCTCAGTCTGTCCCGCATGTCTTCTTCGTCCGACAAACGTGATGGCAGACCACCTCGTCACCTGCGAGCCGTTGAATGGTGACAGGTTGCGAGAACCATCTTCTCGGCGGGCACAGTGAGTGTGGCCGACTGCAATAACGAATCAAGTATGATACTTTAACTTTGGCTGTGTCTGCCGACCTCACGAATATCTTGTCGCAAGAACCTATCTTCACGTAATGTAACTATGTGTAGCTATCAGAAGTTCGGATTGTAGCCACCACAAAACTTGTCGCCAGCCTGTTGAGCAAGCAGCTTCTCGCACTGTTCGCCCGCATCGGCAGTTTCGCTGCACCTGCGGCCACTCAATCAAGCAATCCAGGCGCAAACAGTCTTCACTCGCCTTGATCGTGCAGGCACCACAGGCTCCCTCGTGGCATTTCAGTTCGCAGGTGTGCGAACAACCTGCAGCCCAACAGCATTCTGCCACGGGCAGGTGATGCACGATGCAAGCCGATCTTTAAGCACTGACGTGTACCGGACCGTGCCGTGCTTGACCTGGGGTGGGTGGGCGGCTGAGTGGGTAGCCGGTTGGGTGTGTGCTTGGGAGGGTGTGGGTGTCAACCGCTCCAGCACATGAGCCAAGGGCGTCACTTCCTATCGCCGGTTGACTTCGCGAAGTTTCTCGCACATGCTGACATGTTTTCACTGCTGAAGTTTTGCAGGTGTTCTTAGCAATACCAACCAACACCAACGAAGCTATGGGGAATCGACGGAAGGGGAAGCTGGATGCAGGTTCTTGTGCCCGCAGAAACTTGGACGAGACACCACCAAGAATGTTACAGCCTTTTCGTTTCAATCCAAACAGGTTTCTGCTGTCTTCAGCATTACACGCACGGGTGCAGCAGTCTGTCTTGTCTGGTTCACAATGCAGACATGTTCGAAGCCTTTGAATGGCAGTCTACATGTGCAGCTTTGCAAGCATCCTGCAGCTTCAAGCCATTCACGAAGGCAACCGGCCTTTGAGAAAGTAGGTTTTGCGTGTGTGTGTGTGTACACATGTGTATATATATATATATATATGTATGTATATATGGATATTCGGTATTTGCCATGGTGGATGTCGGGTTTTGGTATGGGTGTGCATGTTTGCATGTGCGTGTGTGTGCATGTGTGTGTGAGACAACCCATGTTCACACGGAAGATTTTGCACCGGATGCATACATGGTCTCAGGCACGGCTCTCTGATGCTACCGTACCCAACGAAGTTATGCATCAGAGAGGGAAGCCGAGTCTGATCAAGCTGGTGTACCTGCTAAGTGCATGCAAGTGAATGCACCGGATTCTAAGTTGGCATCAGTTGGCGGTGTTGTCGTGAGTTAGTATGGCACCTGAGGTGGCATTGTACGTGGTTCAGCCGTGAAGTGTGTGTGCGTCTTGGTGTCTTTGTGTGTGTGCGAGTGCGCATGTGCCTGTGCATTGCGAAGGCGCACTATGACGAGGTTCACGAGGTTATGCAGCCCAGAAACCATCCTACCATCAAACACAATGACACCACTGCCCACAGTGACAAAGAGTCCCTGCGCGGAATGCTAACCACCAGACAACTGCTCTCCCAACAACACCGGGAGTCCGGACGTTCGTGTCTTCTCCCACATAGCTGCTTGCAAAGAGGCAGTGGCTGCGAACACCTCTCAGCGGACGCGTCACATGCCGATCAACTTGGCGCAAACAGCACATGCAGCCTGCATGATGCAGGCACGCTGGACCCTCAGCAAACTCAACAAGTGACCAGCACTGCAGCAATGCACTTTGAACTGGCACACGGCACGCGGGGCATGTCTTGCATGTGTGTGCTAATGACGCAAAAGCCTCCATGACAATGCAAACGACCAATAATTGCCCGCGGGTGGAAAATGAGCAAACCCTGCATCATCACCTTCAGCAACTTATGACCTGAGATCTCAAACACAGCTTAGTGCGACCACCAGTGAAGTAAATCGATCCAGCACCTCTTCGGCCTCGCTTTTCTGAGTTGAGAAGCAATATTTTCATTACGATATCGGGTTGTGATTTACTGGCTGCACCTATCATCGGACTTGTCATTGCCACTGCTCTGCTGCAACCTCAAAACTTGCATGACAGTTTCCTGTGGCGCGGTGGAGTTGGCCATAGCGCATGCGTCGTAGCAGTGAGACGGTGTGGGGAACTACGCTCCCATCCCAGGCACATCCCTCACACGGCACCACTGCCCTTGTCGTTCTCTTCCGGATCCCCTCCGGGAATCATCCTCAGCACGAGCAACGCCAAACAATGAATCTAGCTGCTTCTGTTGTTGCTTCAGCTCCTCCCCAAGCTCACGAAAAACACAAACCCTGAAGCTGCACACCCTACCGCCCTACGGTCCTATACACTGAACATACACTGTTATCGTTGTTGTTGTCTCTGTTCTGGTAACTGTGAAGCCATACTAAGATTGATATGGTCACTGACGGTCACTGTGGGCGCACAAAAAATGGATGAATCCCATGCGCGTGAGCGCCACCTGCAGTTCGCTGCAAGCCGCTCGGCTGTGCACTCTGGCTCTCTCTCTTTCTTTCCCCAGGCTTGAGGACACCCCCCCGCGGGAGCAGCCCGATGTTGAAGGCAAGCACGGTATTACGTGCGATAGACATCTGATCCATTCTGATCCCCTCCACGGGCTGAGCTTGGTATTTCACTGAAGGTACCCCATATTGTGAAATCCGCGAAGGCAGACTGAGGTGACTGTATTCTTGCTCGCCCCGAATGCCGGTCTCTGCGAGCTGTCGATATATTCGCGATGGCTCTCAGCGTGCCTCGCCCTCGCCCTCTCTCTCTCTCTCTCTCTCTCTCTCTCTCTCTCTACCGGGCATGAGGGTCGTGGCAGCGTCCGGGCCACTTCCCTCGCGCGCGCGCACACCCGCTGTTCGCGGGGCGTCCTCTCTCTCTCTCTTGCTTGCTTGCTTGCTTAGGGGTGTGGGCCTCCGGGGAGACCCTGGCCCGTAGGCCTACCCCCTCTCTCTCTCTCTCTCTCTATCTCTCTCTCTCTCTCTCTCTCTCTCTCTTGCTTGCTTGCTTGCAAGGCGTTTGGGAGGTGGGCTCGGGTCCCCACACCCCCTGCGCGCGAGCGCTACGCCACTGTTCGAGTTCGGTCTCTCTCTCTCTCTCTCTCTCTCTCCACGAGGTAAGAGGACAGGGCAGCGTCCGGGCCCTCCCCCCGCGCGACAGTTCGCGTACCTGGTACCTGCGGCACTTGGAAGTTTTAACATCCACACCCGAGAATTTTCCCCGGGAGGCTTGGCTGAACTTCTCAGAGAAAGCAAATGTTCTATTCCCCCCTTTTGCTTTCTCTCTCTGTCTCTCTTCCGGGCTTGGAGGTCGGGCCAGCGTTCAGGGCCCTCCCTCCTCGCGGGTAGGTCTTGCTTTCCTCCCGGAGTTTGGCCCCAGGGCAGCTCGGCTGTACGACAGGCTGGGGGTTACCGCACTCTTTGCAACACATGAAGAAGTGTGTGATATCGATCCAAAGATTGTCAGATTTCCAATCCCGTCCTAAAACCAGAGTAGGAAAGAGTATATCCTGAGCTTCCAAGATCCACCGCCAATGTCTAGGCCAGACCAGCCGTATATCCTGACCCCCGTCCCCCGCAAGAACCAAGAGACAGGGGTAATATGCATAACACAAACGCGCAGGAAGAGAACCTGTTGCATCCGAAATCCCTCATCCCCAGCCACAGGAACCTCGAAGGAGGTTTCAGGTTTTCCACTCCCATGCACAGGGAGCTTCTGAATTACGAAACGGGCCATAATTGATGGAACCGGCTTGAGCATAAAACCGCTGAGGCCGCTAGCATCGTGATGTTATTGCCATTGAGGAGTATCCTGGCATGACAGCTGTGAAGGCAATGACTGCAGTGACTGCTACGATATGCTACGATCTTCTGAATCTGAACCAGCCAGCATGTCGACTCCAGATGTGTGATCTTTTTGCCCTGGGGCGTGAAGGTGTACTCTCGCACATCCTTATCAATCCACAAGCACTCAGTGAAGCATGTTAAGTTCTGGCTGTAGTAACAACAGCGGAGAGGCTTCGCATTCACCGAACCGAGTCATGGACGTCCATGACCATGTTGACATAATCATCAAAACCGCGCAATGTGCCCACAATCTCCTTGTCACCCTTCATAATGACCTGACGGATAGAGGATGCGCAGCAGGCGTTGCAGATCCAACACGTATCGGGACTGCTGGCATTATCCTTCGTCACAGCCATGAACCAAGGCCTACGATCTCAATTTTTCGGGTCACTACAGGAGCCTTGGCCTTGCTGCTGCTTGCTGCTGGCCCTGGCGGCCTTTATTCCCCTTTGACAGAAACATGTCAGAAACATCTGTTTCAGATCCAACGACGACTCTACAAAAGCTGCTAAATGCTAGGTTCCACCAGGAGAGACGGATGAACAAAAACTCACGACATTCTACACTCAATGAATCCTACTGTAGGCTACTCTCGCAGTTCCGTGGCGGGTTGACAAAATTTCTCTGCTAGGCTCGGCACCCAAATGCGGGATCCGATGCACTTGTCGATGAGGGCCTCGACTTGGCAGGTTGTCACATCAACAGGCTTAACCAAGAACCTGCTGTTCGGCCCGTGGCCAGGGGCAAGTAGGAGGGCGCTGCCGAGATCGACGCCATCTCCACGGACCCGGTCTGCCTAAGCTCGCGGCCGACGTCTGGGCAGAAACAAGTGCAAGGATACACGTTCGAGGATTCGAGGGCGTGGCCCGCCCGGCACCGGACCGTTGCTGTGGGGGGCGGCTCTATGTACCCCGGTCTGAGCCCAGATCCGACGCAAAAGCAGTCACGCGACAGAAGCTGCGACCACGGCAGCATGCCACCGAAGAGATGGGTTTTGCTTGTCTAGCAGGGCGCGCCTTCTCCTCTGACCCACCTCAATTCCAGCCATCTGCATGGAGCATCTACGAAGGACGATGCGGCTCGGGGTGCTCATCCGAGGAGGGCGCAAACTTCGCAAGGCGAGGTCGCACTGACTCGCTGCTGCAATTGGAGATCCTCAGACATAGCCGACGACTGTGGATCCGGAGTGGCAAAATCGGGGTGACTAGACTGTCGTCGATGCTGAGGAAGATGCTTGCCACAAGCACAGCCTTTGCATGAAGACAACTGACTCAAGAATCGACATGGCGTCGCCTGAGAAACGCGGACCAGAATCTGGCCTGTGACTGCCAGGCAATCGGCGGCTATGTCGGAATGGGCTGAATGACGCCCCTGCACTGGTAATTCTGCAGCAACTGGGGTGGAAGCGATCGCCCCAAGTCTTGGGATCCTTCGGACACCTTCGGTCGCAGCAGAAGGTTTTCAATGAAAGACACCTGGTCACCTGGACCTTTCTGCCTTTCTGCTGCTCGGCTCTGTGGCGCGGACAGGCCGCAGTCGCCCCGGTGGCATTCCCTTTCGCAGAAATGCTCCTGCCAGACTGGCGAAGTCTCTTGGCCGCTACACATGCCAGTAGTTATTGTAAATGCGGTGCCCCTCAAACTTGCATCGCATGGTACATGTTCGCGAAGTGCTAAGACAGCAGCATTTTCCAGCATTTAGCGGGCTCTAGGCAAGTGGAGATCTAGAGAAATATGCTTTGCCCACAGAATGGGAGCGCAACTGGTAGTGGCCTGAGTCTTGCCTGCCTTGCAAAGGCAGTTCTAAAAGCCAAAAAAGCATGAGCTGCGAGAAAATAGCTCATGCTCTCTTCCAGGCCATGGCAAAAGCTTCGGATAAAGTTCTTTTGCATCACGGCATGCCGTGGTCAGCAAGCCCACCCGGAAAGAGGTCCGAGATGCCTCGGCGACAGGGTTTACAGTTTACACGCACCGGAGCAACACTGCATGCAACACTGACCAAAGCAAGAGACTGTCGTCATTCTCAACCTCCTCCTCCGCTTCGGCAGTTGCTGTGGCATTCTCCTGTCCAGCTCGAATGGCAGGAGGCTTGGCATGGCGAATGCGAGGGCACAATGCAAGAAGCTCGCGGAACTTGGGAACTGGGTAGAAAATGTGACATCACTGACCCAGCTGGCCAGGGCAGAGACCATGTGCTGGGGCATCGCGGGCTGCTTTGGTCAATGGTTGCCAAGTCTTTGCGTGGCAGTCCAAAACAGCTTTGCAATCATCTTCCCCCCCTCTCTGCTCTCTCAATCATGCAACTTTGCGGGCATCACCGCATACAGAGTTCTATTTCGGCACGCGAGCGCGTTGAAAGACCACCATCACCATCACCATGTGGGCATATGTCACCCTGCGTAAGAATGTGACATGCAGTGACGACTGTACCAACCCTCTCCCCAGACTGCCGGGAGATGTTCCGAACCAACTTTCACACCATCGTGCATCGCATGACCGGTCGAGGAATCTCCACGAATCTTGCCTGCGAGGGACCGTGCCACTGCCATGCCCCGGCAAAGCATCCACATGACAGTCGCTGCCCTGTCCGGCGTCAATCGCTGGTCTCCATGAGAATGCCAGGCTTCGTTCGGGTTGTACTTGGTGCCGTCGGAATACCTTGGCATCAAGGGACAGGTCCCGGTCCATCAGGGCTCTCCGGAAGATTTGAATCTCTCCGCCAGGCTGCGTGATATTGGCGATGGGGCACCAAGCACCCTTGCAGCTCGTGCCTTCGGTCGATATCCAGTGTAGAGTCTCGAGACTTGTTACAGACTACGTACACTACATGAGTCTGGACTCTAGACATCTCTAGACCATCATAGACCATCTAGCCTGCACTTTCACCAAGTGTACATGACTTGAACCTCAGCACCGGGCATTGTTCCTCGTTGAGGGCGCAGTAATCATCTGCAGAGTTTCGTACGCTTTCATTCGCGGAAACGGACATGCTCGCACTTTGGATTCCGCGCCTGCTGCGGCAATGCCCGAGACGGGAAAAGCACTTCCGCAAGGGTCTGCTTTGTTCTTGAAGGCCTTCACACACCTCACTCAGGCGTATTCAGCAATCTGCTACCAATTGTGGCTGGCTGGGCGTGAGACTCTCTGAATCACAACCCAAGTCGCTTCGGCCCAGGGCACCACGTCCCACCGCAGCCTCCACAGCGGGTCTTTTCGGAGCATGTGGAATCCTTTGCAACATCTGCGCAGGCGCCGCACCTCATGGCATCAGTCGCTTTCAATTCCGAAGAAGTGCTTGCGTCATACAGCTTCTATAGCCAGCAACACAACCCGCCCGCCTGCAGCAAATTCAAACGGATCTCACTACGCTCGCAGACTCAGACATCGTGGGGCTGCTACATACTTGTGCCTGATTATGTACTTACGCTCTTCTGCTTTAAGCTCGGCCACATGCCGTCTGCACCAGTCTTTCCACGATAACAGCAGAAGCCGTTGGTGTCGTCCGGTGCCACGTACACATTCTCCTCACGACCGTAACTGTCCTGCCGAAGAGTAGATGGGAGGTGAGGACATGTGGTAAATCACCATGAAAACAGCAAGAAATCCCTCTCCGACCTCTTCAACTTTGAAGTTGGATGCATAGCCTGCTCGGCACCATTCCTTACTCTGCGCTGTTCATGGCCGCAGGCATCACTGATTAAAGATCTTGACTCCCTGCCACAGGCCAACCTACGTTGAGGTTGGCAAGCGTCTCCCTTGCAGCTGCCGCATGCGTCTTTGGACCTGAGCTCACAGAAATATTTTTACAGCTCCTCCTTCATGGCAGCTAAGCATAAGTGGGCTCAAGCAAAATGCTTGAACCTTTAGGTGCATACACACATTAATGCACTGAACAACTCACGCGCAGTGGAGCTTTTGAAGAACATGCTTACGCTTCATCTGAGCCCCTGGACGAAGCGCAGTAACTGTCACCTGAGCTCTGCAAAGCTCGTGTTGAAGCATCTGCCAGCAGACTGCATCTTGAGAGGTCTCAGGATGTCTCAGGCCTGCACTGACGGCAATGCCTTTGGCGAATGCTGTGCCGCACATGTTGCCCGGATCAGAGGCACTCATAACCTCACACGGGGCTGCTCTGCACAGAGCAAAGCGGCCGTCTTAATCTTCTTTATTCTCTCGCTCTTGGGCTGGTGCTCCCGGTGAGGCCACAGCCGCAGAGACCACCCAAGCAGAAGATGTCATGAGCATGTCTCATGTCTGAGCACTGGGGGCACCACGCATTTGGTTTCACACCAGGTCCCACGGCACTCGCCGAGGCCTCGGTCGGAGCTCCGAGCTGAAGCCGAGGACGCTCGGCGATCCGCTCGGGACCGGGCAGTTGCTCTTTCTGGAGCACTTGCTCTTGTAGGATGCGATGGACATCGGATAGCAGGTGCCACAGGTGTCTTTCGGATTTTCTCCGCTGAAGCAGCAAGTGCCACCTTCTTCCTGCTCTCTCTCATCCTGCTTCAATGTCTCGTTGATTTTGCTGATCGTCTCCCCCACATCATCGTCGCCGCTGTCTTCAATGGTTTCAGATGGGTCGGGCACGTAGATCTGCACCGTGTCGGAGCTTTCTGCCTTCGGCGACTCCGGGGTCTCCTCGTCGCTTTCGACGGCGTCGACGGCCGTGTCGGTGCCGTTCGATGCCACCGGCGTGACCTCTGCAGCCACCGAGTCGCTAGTGTTGGAGTCAGAGGCAACGACCGTTGCCACATCACTTGCGTCGGCTGCGTCAGTTGCATTGGGCTCGGTCAGATTGTGCTCCGTGATGGGGCTCTCGGACTGCAGGCCACGAAGTTGGCGCAACGAGAGGCCGCACTCTTCGCCTTCGCAAACGTCATCTGCAGACAGTGGCACCTCGATGTCCTGCGCCACGCAGACGAGACGGACAGTACACCCGTACTTATATACTCTAACTCTAGCACCTCTACAACCGCCGGCCCGACAAGAGAGCTCGTGCCGCTCCTGAGGGGGTGTCGCAGCCAAGACCGCGCTGATGGCCACGATCGCATGCAACGACTGTCGCAGCATAGCCGTGAAATAGTAACTAGTTGGGAAGGCAAGCGCTGTTCGCTTTTGTATCGTGAAAAAAGTGCCTTTCGCACCTTGATCCAGGAATGCAGCACAAGCGGAAACGGCAATCAGGGACAAGTGACAAGGCACTGGAAGGGAGTCTCATGAAGGGACATGAACGGACCTCACGGCAACTGCTAAACTCACTATCAAACAACAAACAGTGCGCGGTCCGCCTGGCAATCCAAAGCTTTGCCGCATGGCTGGCTGCACGAGAAGCTGGCCTGCCCACAAAGCCGGTGCTCCTGATTCGAAGGATAAGCTCACAGGTGCCCAGAAGGATTCGTGCTCTTGCTACAGTTCTCAATCTCTCTCTTGCTGTAGCAACCCGAATTATGCAAACAGTAGAGGAAGTGGAGGTGAACACCTCCGAACAGTAATGGGAGGCGCGCACGACGTGCACAGCTGAGTAGAGAAGAAAGTGAACATCGGGCTTCATGGAGCTAGCTGCACATTCAAGAAAGATCATTGCTGCGGCTTCCGGGTTGTCGGGAATGGACTCTTCGCCATCGCCTGCCTGAAGCCAGGCGATGTTACTGCCGGTGTAGATGGGGATTGCGGTGGCTCGGGAGATCTCGAAGCGTGCCACGAGCGGTGCCAAAAAGCACAAGATGCAGCAGGAAGATGAAAAATGATGAACAAGCATCAGCCTATACACCCTTCGAGGAACATGGCCGGAGTTGCAACAAAACTTCGGGATGCTAGCAGCGCCTCCATGACTCAAGATGACTCAAGGATAAGAGATCTGCGCTTTGCACCACCCGTGCGACGGCCCTCATGTTGAACGTCCTTGCAACCAGGTACACTAGTCGAAACACCATACTTGGCAAATTCCATGTCAGGGTGAAGGTACGCCGTGGCACGGTGGCTACTCATACAAAACCTGACATCTTACGGTGCAACATATGCGAATTTAGAGCCTGAAGTTGTTCTTGGTAGTCCCGTGACTCGTCCTCCTTCTTGCCACAGAAACAGGCTTCAAGCGACGTCGCTGAGCAAGGCGGGCAAGGACCCTCATGACACCTGTAAGGTCCAGAGTCAATGACAAGCGAAAGCAGGCTTCTTGCCACAGAGCCAAAAGCTCTCCACGACTCTCCGCCTCGCTTTGCAAGCGTGTAGGCCTGGAAATCCCAGTCACCAAACGGATGCTCAGTTTCCCCAACGGCTTAGGTGGCTAAAGGCTACAGAATCATGCGCTGATGCTCAGTTTGAAGCCACAGCTCAGAGTTTTTCCACACGGCTGGCCGCAGGACCAGAGCTTGGGATCACCGCACCTGCGCATGAGCCAGTGATTCAGATTCATTGACCCGTCCCTGCCCCCAAGCAACACATAGAACATGCTTCCTCGTCGTTTCAGTCTGCTCTCGACCGCAATAGCAGCTCCCAGGACCGCCAACCTCCGGGGGGACCAGGTCATAGAAGAGGCATGCGAATGCGAGCCCCTTTCTCGCGTCTAGAGTTTAGAGCCTGAAAGAATATGGCAAAGACAGTGAACAGATCTTGCTGCCCTGTACAAGTCACCAGATGACATGACTGCTGTGTTTCAACACTACTCCCATGAACGTTGCCACTTCAGAGATGTCAGCTTGGCGTATCACCGCAGTGCAGCGGGGGCAAGGCCCTGGATGACAAAGTTCCGGGCAGGGATGAGGGCCTTGGAATTCCCACATTTGATATTGAAGGTCAAACGGAAGAAACAGAGAAACTTGGATCGCCGCATCCTCGATTGCGTTCACACACCTTGTTTTCCGACATCTTCCGACTCCCACCAGATAGTACTGAGTACTGACTTTTGCAGATCACGCCTCGCCACAGCTGTGAGCTAGCCTGGCATTGTAAAGATGAGTTCTGGCTGAGAGTCAGAGACACCGCTTTCAGGCTGAGGAGCCAATGCGGACTCAGCTCCGGCTCTGGCAGCTTCTTGCAGTAGCAGCTGTACCTCGCGGCAACATGGCACCACCCAGTGAGCTCTTGAACGAAGTGGCGCAGCCATGCGCAGCTGCGTGCTGCCTCACTACATAGGATACGTATGTGGCTCTGTGAGGTTGCTCGGTGAGGGGTGCGACCACGCCACAACAACATGATGCCGATTGAAAGTTAAGCCCGCTGTGCACTTGGCCCGCCCGTGTTGGGCTTTTGAGGGGAGTGAGAGTCTTGGATGAGTTAACGACTGAAATGGCAGAGAGTGAATAGAATAGAGCAACATATGTGTTTCAGGCTTGCTCATCCATTGTAGAAATTCCAGATATGGCTTGGAGCTGATTCCCCTTTACTCTGTCTCTCTCTGTCTCTCTTTCTTTCTTTCCCCAGGCTTGAGGGCATGCCCCCGCGGGAGCAGCCTTTCCTTTGCCGGGCTTGGGTTCCAAATCCACCTGATTCCACCTGTCTCCCTGCATGTCTTGGACATCTCTTATTGTTGCCAGACGTCAAAGGCAGATCAACCTGCTTACACCAAGGAGTCAAGCAGGAGTGGCGTTGTTTTCCAAGCTGTGGAGCGCGCTGCGGCAGCACGTCCACTCGATGATAGCGACATCCTGCACACTACGTGTGGCTGTTTGTGTGCGGAGTCTACACATGTCGTGCCTGGACATGCCCACTCAAACTCCGGACCGTTGGCATTGTTGCATCGCCGGACCCAGCTTCTGATGCACTTCAGGTGGAACCTGAGTTGCACGCTTCAAAATACCAATTGCAATTCCTCCTAGCCGAGTATGGCACGCTGCCCAGCATTGGTCACAGGACCATATGTGGTGGCTCGGCCTCACCTGCCATTGCGAAGCATTCTATCCAAGTTTCCATGGTGGCTGTTCACAACGGACAAGGCGGCAGGCCTTTGCCAGGCAAATCATACAGTCATACGAACCTGGACAGTGCATCCGGCAACACACAAACCTGGTGATTCACAACTGCGAGAAAGAGAAAGAGCGATAAAACGAGACAGACAGAGAGCAAGAGGATGAGAGAGAGGGAGATAGAGTGAGAGAAACAAGACGAAGAGAGATAAAGCGAGACTAACAGGAAGATAGGCGTCTCGACAGCCACATACCTCGAGAAAGCTGATCCGCAAGTCGCTCAGCCACCTTTTGGCAACATGGCCGCATTGGCAGCTTTTGCATCACTCGCAGAAACGCAAGCACAACGCATCCTCAGCTTCTTGCAGTTCCAGTGCTGGAACCGTAGCGACGAGGCTGGGAATTCTCAGACGCCTCCGTACTCAAACAGGTAGAGCACGCGTTCGACCCTAGGTTGGAAACACAAAAACTTAAAAACACACGTGCTGAAAACATTGCCATGTTCAAGGCGCATCAAGTGCAAACTGTTGAAACTTGTCCGAATCCACGGGCTCAATGATCATAGGACTGAATGTACTTTCCGGAGTTGTCATGCTTCGTCCTCATAGTGTGATTGCGTCTGCCTTGCATTAACTAGACAGTCCAGCTACTGCAACAGTGGTTGCAAGCACAGGGCTGCATCATTTCAACGGGGTTGAATCTTGAAGTTGCCTTCGGAGGCATCTCATGTGCGTCGCCCGCGAGGTTGACAGCTGCTTCGCAGGAGCGAGCTGCGCTACTTCCTGCTGCAAGATGCTGTCCTGCTGGCACTGCTATGACAATGTGCACCCATCAGCAAAGGCTAGGGCAGCTGCTGAAATCGCCTTCACTTCCCTTGCCCTTGTTCCTGCTCTTGCCTTTGCCTTTACCTGGCAAGTCAGCCATGATTGAGTACATCGCAAGCCCAACAAGCTTGCTAGCTGCGTCGACATGCTGCTTCGCCATGGCCTTTGAAGCTTTTCCTGCTCTCCCCTGATGCACAGACAGATGCGCATATCGTGCTAGGTGTAGACTTGCTCCAAAATGCGAAGCATTGCAAAGCCAGCCTTGAGATGACTGCTGTGTCTGCTGCGGCTCAGCGCTGGCCGCCTGACGAAAGTTTGGCCCCGGGTCGCGCGTCATTCAAGTCATGCCGGGGGGCGGGGCCACACATCTTCAGTCTATCAGCATACCAACAAGATCCTCGAAGAATTCCCCTCTCGTCCGTTTGCACAACTCGGCTTGCCTCATCTGCCTGCCTGTTCGGAGCATCCGCCGGCACCCAACGGGCACCACCTGCAAGAAAGCTGAAAGGCAGCGTCATCTCACCGGAAAGGCTCGCTCTTGTTGCGGCTTGCAAAAGGCGGAGGGCTCTTTGTTGAAAGTATGGCCAAGGTGTTGTTGGTTGTGTTGCTTCAAGCTACTGGGGAGTTGCAATAGGCGGGGGCTCGTTTGGCTTTCAACTATAGGGAATTACAATTTGCACGGCTTGGTTTTGCAAGGCTCGTTTTTTGCCAAGCTGGTCGGGAATTTCGAATCGCAAAGTGGAATTCAGTGTGTTCATGTTTTCTTTGTCATAGTCGTTTCGGGCTTGTCTCTACACATTGAATAGGTAAATATCTTTATTAGAATATGACCTAACTTCGATTGGGGATACCTTCATTTTTTGTGTCTTACATTGCTAGTATTGATGTTTTGAGGGGAGCCCCACCCATTTGCAAACAGAATGCCCGTATGATGGGGTTTGAAAAGTTCTCTAAGAGTCATGTGTTCGATGCAGTTTGTTTGATGGCGCGATGTTCTTGAAAGCAAGCCTGCAAGCCTTTATGGCTCAAGAAGAAAGGGGGAGATTGGAGGCGAGCAGCCCAACCCGTTTGCAAACACAATGTCTGTGGCACGCGTTCTGAAATAGGGTTCTGTTTTTGCTAGCAGCAACCCCCCCGTTTGCAAACTCAATGCCTGCATGATGGATGTTGAGTTTTCTATGAATGCTTGACGCAATAATTTTGATGGCGCGATGTTCTTGAAAGCAAGCTTGCATGCTTAAGCAAAAAGAAGTGGTTAGGGGGTGCTGCCGCTTAAAAAGGGGTCGCTTTTCTGGTATTACTAGTAAAGGAATGACTGCGTGGGGGATTGATCTCGACTTGGTTGCTGCTCTCCCCACCAGAGCTGTAATGAATGTAGGTGTGGCTGGCTAGCACTCTCCACAGACTGGACCCTGTCTCTCCCTCTTACTTCCACACGTGCGATCCTATGCAGGCAGAACCGGTGGCCGTTCCTTTTGCACTCACTGCCGGCGGCGGTTCGTCTGTGCAACGGGATAGCTCTGATTGCTCAGGATAGAAGACACATATAGCACTTAGCTATGGGCATTGACTTGCGCCAAACGTTGCGTTGGCGGTCACATAGAAAGGTAAAGATGAGGGATGCGTAGCATGCCCCCCTAGAGTCGAGGGACGCGTAGCGTGCCCCCTTCTCTTGCACTTTACACGGTCTTGCTCACAGCTCTTATAGTGACACCTTAGAACTTGACAAGGCATCGCAGTCCGTTCGCACCCCCCATGAGTTGCGTCTCCGACGCTGCTCACCCGGAAGATGGAACGATAGGACAACAGAAAATGTTCCGCCGCAACGTTGACATTGAAAATCAGAGCTTTGCATCCCAATTAGAAACGTTGTGACACTCATCTACGTCAGTAACGATCCCCTGAAATGGCAAACGAATCAGGCGTCACCGAAGAAAGAAGCATTCGCGATGGCATTCCATGGGCGAAGCTCAGAGGTCACGAACTGATAGGCGAGGAAGATCAGGCGTTGTCTCGCAACCATCTTCGCGTTGACGTAGGATCGCGTTCCCAGGGCCGGAGGTTCTCCTCTGGATACTGGTTCCTCTGCTTTCCTTTGTCCTTGCCTTTGTTTCGGCCTTTGCCGGCGATGTAGTCGTGGTAGGAATTGGTGTTCCAGCCACCATGTTGCTCACCTCCGGTTCTTCCACGCCCTTTTGAAGGTCCCTTGTATGGGAGTGCGCGGGGGGGGTTAATTACGCGCAGGGTCGGCCGTGGCAACTCATTTGGGGGGGTCCGCCCGAAACCCCGACTTCCAAGTCGGGACAAAAACTCAACACGCAGTCGTTGCCATGGGCCGCTTGCCATGCCGATGAGCCTGTGGCCCGTTTACACCTGGTCTATGCATATGCCAGGAACCGAGGCCTGCAGCCCTACAGCCCGAACCCCAAACCTTTATTGTCTACTTTGAACCCGAGCCGTTGCCGTGTGTACTTTGTTTACTGCCAGGATCCCCAAAATCTCGATTGACACTTCTTCATTCTTCTCCAGCCCGGCCGTGCTCCACCGTTGTGTTGGCCAGGTGCTCTCCTTGCCTTGGGTGATCATTTTGCTGTGCCCCCCGCGTGTTGGAGATTTGTTGCGGTTCGAATGATGTGTTAACCATGTTTGCTGTCGCTATTACGATGGCTATGCTTGCTACGCTTACCAAGGCCAAATTAATAGTAAGGCATTACTCTTAGTCTCTTAGTATTTCTGTTTTTAGATCTAACACGATGTCAATGTCGGAAAGTAGATACAACTGAACATATCCACCGCTACCGCCGCGGCTACCACTGATTGCCACTGCCTCTACCACTCGCACTGCCACCATCCAGACTGCTACTCTACTACTACTACACTACTACTACTACTACTACTACTACTACTACTACTACTACTACTACTACTACTACTACTACTACTACTACTACTACTACTACTTCTACTACTACTTATACTACTACTACTACTACTACTACTACTACTACTACTACTACTACTACTACTACTACTACTAATACTAATACTAATACTAATACTAATACTACTACTACTACCTACTCTACTACTACTAATAC